TAGACTCTAGGATATGATATTTTGTTCCACGACTGCATCCAAAGTTATAATTTAGCGAGTTTTATCAAACATCAGCCTCGTACAGGAAAACACAAAAAACGCTACTGGAATTGGAATTTTTTCGCAATAGGCTGGTTCTTTTTTTACGCTTATAATATATACAGAATATACTCGTGCTCCCAGAAGCAACCCCGATTCGCGTATGGAGCAACTTATATTGCCTTTACAATATCAGTAATAGTATACTATATTCGATCCGAGGAGGGGATGTTGTGCATATGTTAATTATTATGTAAATTTATACAGTTTCTTCGTTTGACCTATTTACCGGTTTACATACGCACATTGAAAATTTATCAAACGGTGATCATTAATGAGACTAAAACAACTTTCGACTAAGCTCACGAAATAATTACCTTTTTCAGTAATGCACTTGAACAATTTAATTAAATTGAACTTTATAATGCCCCCAATCACAGTTTCTCGATAAAGATCAAAAGGCCCGTTCATCTGTTTTTGCAAGCAGATAATTAAAACTATGAAATTATTTCCTATAACCTACATTAGTGGTATATTGCACGTAATTAATAACAATTGAATTTTCAATTGAGTTTTGCACCGATGTCGCTTTATGCAGCGTATTTATTAGTATACGTGAACATAAATGCAAATATTTTAATATTTTATTTTGTGATTAAAATCGAAACGAAAAATAATTTGGTTATCATTGCGCCATAAATTTTATTTGCGTTATAAAAATTAGAATAATATTTTTTTATTTCGTATTTAAAATAATATGCACAACAACAATTTATCTGTAGATGAAAACTATAAATTCTTATTTTCACTAGTACCATATACATAGGTACTGAAAATGAAAAAGTAACGCCATTTTATATATTAATAATATTTTAAGGTTTGGACCGTTTTATTTTTCTCAATTATTTGTTTAATAATTTTTACTAGTCGTAATTATAAAACCACACCTATACCTATTATAAATAACCAACGTTTGAAATCATTTGAAAGATGTGTGCGAAGTTGATTTTTAACAAAGATTGATTTAAACATCAGTACGTTAATTTATCGTATTTAAACAACACATTTAATATTTTAGATCAGTGAATTGAACAGCCAAGTCAATGACTTAAGAGGAAAATTGTAAGTACACGTTTTATAAGAATTGCGACGATCGATGTCGTGAAAGTGTATAAGTAGTCCTTACGTTTATTAACTTTACTTTCAGCGTTAAACCAACTTTGAAGAAAGTCTCCAAATACGAAAACAAATTCGCCAAACTCCAAAAGAAAGCGGCGGAATTCAACTTCAGAAACCAACTGAAAGTAGTAAAGAAAAAAGAGTTCACCCTGGAAGAAGAAGACAAAGAGAAGTGTACAAACTTCGAAGGTTCACTGAAATTCTGTCGAAATACTATAGATTAAAAGTTCATATGTTCTTTAAGTTTTTTTTACTAAGTATATAATGTACATTTATTATTATTATTCTATTTTTTTTTTTTTTTGTTCCAGAAAAAAAACCAGATTGGTCCAAAAAGGGAGACGAAAAGAAGGTAAAAGAAGAAGTCGAATACGAAGCATAATACCTCGCGCAAAGTTATCATTTGTAATTTGTATTCCCACAATGGATTGCATATTTTTACCCAGTTTTATTTATTTTCATTTATTCTATGTTCATTCAACACCAGCATGTAATCGTTATTAACTATAACCAAAATATTTGTTGTCAAACACGACATATAAATGTCTCATTAAAGTTATTTCGTGTAAGAGTTTATTAACCAAATACCTGAAATGAAAACCTGTCTTTAACTATACACATGTATGTATGTACTCATATGTGTGGGTGTGTGTGTGTGTGTGTAAAGGCGTGCGCAGATCTGCATTCCAAGGTGTGCCTACAATACATTTGGGCTCTACCTTAACAAAATGTGTAGGGTATATATAATACATTTTTAAATAAACATAACTTTAATATTTTATTTCATATTGTGGTATATTAGTCCCAATGAATATTTTTTCCTTGAATTTCGTAAATTTTTCTCAAATAGTTTCAATTATTTGTGATTTGTACTTTTGTAATCAATTATAGTTGTTATATTATCATAATAAGTTTTTGCATGAAAATGTAAAACATTTTGTTTTATTCTTTCTGTTACATAACATAATTTATTTTATTCTAATTATTTTAGAATAAATTACATTTAATTTGAGCAATATCAGTTGAAATATGGGTCCCTTACTCTTAGACTTTAATGTTAGGGCTCCATTTACATATTTGGGGTCGGTGCCTAGGCACATCCAAGACCCCCCCCTCATGCGCACGCCTCTGTGCGTGTGCGTAAAAAAAACAACACGAAAATACTTTTTAATTCTCAACAACGCACACCCTAAGGACGATGTCTAATTATTGCGATGATCGTTGTTAAATCGGTTTCAAAAAATTTCAAATATTTTTTATTTCTATTCTTTAACCCGTCAACACGATTCATCGTTGAAGATCCGAACACTAAAAAATAAAAAAGAAAAAAAAACAATAATCTTTAGATTACATTTTTAACTTCTATGTCAACATTTCCAATATGTTTATCTGGGACATTTTTCTTCCAGTTTGCATATAATGTCAATAACACAACACCATATCAACCCGACAATTTTGAAGGATATTCTAATATCATATATTATCCAACGCTGTTAATTTTAAATGCATGCACACGCATGAACCGACACGATGTTGTACACGTCCTACTGCACAACCAGGACGACACGATATTACGTCACACGTAAAATGCTTATCGGTCGACGTCTGTGCGGATTACTTAGACTCGTTGGACGTACGATCATCCCTCACCCCATCACCTCGGCCCTGTTTCTCCGGTATTGTTTTTTTTTTTTTATTCAAGTACCGGTGCAAAACGCATTTTCCACGAACAAACTCATCCGGTTTTGTTGCGAACAGACAATATCCAACATCCAATGCCACCGACCAGGTAAGCATTGCATTATTCAACGATTTCCCTTACATTGAAAAACCGCAGAATAATTAACCACCGTGGGGGGGTTACGAACGGCTGCAAATTAATCGATTTCCTCGTATGCAAGGGGTTTTAGCCCTAAAAAATTCACAGAATAAGCATAAGGTGTTCTGTGAAAACACTAGTTTAGATACTACAGGCGACGAACCGCCTTTAAATGAATTACAAATCCAATGCAAGGAAAAAAATTATAATCCAATAAAACAGAAACCATTTGGTGTTCCACGTTAAAATATAATGATAAAAACACTTTACGATAAAAGAAACCGCCACGGCGCGTCACCGGAAACCGTCTATGAATAAAATCATCTGCCAATTGATATGTATATTTTTCGCGACGACAACTATAAAACCGTATGTACATAAAAATCAAAAATAATACCTTGATAACATCGGATAATATACCGAATAATTGAAATCATCTCAACCCTAACCATTTACTAACCCAAATGTATTCGATTATAATGTACTAGGATTTCGGGAAAGAGCAAACAAATGTAAATCGCGTTTCCATAGCTGTTCCCACCTTACCATACCGATTACGATACGATTACCCGTGTCCGTTCAAGTGCGGTTGACGATCGATAAACACGTACGTGTGAAATGTCGGTTAAAAATAAAAAAGTTACGAAAAACGGGAGAAACGTGAACATAGATCGGGTAAACAAGTGTGAGCAGAGACCGTGTATTGAAAGCATCACGCATAGACGTTTAACATTGTAATAATATGTAGATGGTTTACCTAGTGATAAGTTTTAAATTGATATTGTACGAATGACTTCAATGTTTGTGTATACGTGACATCCTTCACGTCGTCTCCATCGATTGTTATATCTATCTATTCGCTTTGCATCGAAAAACCATTTCTCGTATTTCCGCAAGCCACAACTTTAACGACTAGCGATAGGATTGATATTTTGAACATGTTCTCATCCATCGGGATTATTCTACCAATAAATCTGTACGTGATTTCATAATATTTTGTTATTTTTTATCTTTGATTGCATTTTTAAATAAAAGATAGAAAAAAACCCCGGTTTATGCAATAATTTTACGGCCAAATTTTTGATTAAGTCAATGTAACGTTTTTTTGCAACTGTTCAGTGGCTCAAGTAACGTCGAACTGCGATTTCTCTTCACTGATAAGAATTTATTAGAATACGAATTTTCATATTTTTTTAGTTATTTACCTATTTAGAAGACAGTATAAAATGTAAACGACTTGCTCATCAAACAGTGCACATGTAATATTTTTATGTTTTTAAACCGATAAAATAATGCTCGACCTAACTATTTTTTTCATCCACAAATACATAAAACTTTAATTTTATTCATAGAATAAAAATAGCGGTCGAATAATAATCCATGATTTTTATATAGGCTTCTCATTTAACTACCACTATAGTCAAAATAGTACGTTTTATGTCAGTTATTATTGCATCTGTTTATGTTATACTCGTACGATCAAGTTTTTATGATAATCTTTAGATAAGCACACTAATAGTCTGTTAGAAAACAATGTAATAATATAATACGTGGAACGTGGAGACTTGAATTTTATTCTTATTACTCTCAGCGATGATTTAAATGTCTCACGTGCTCCCAAGACGTGTCTAATACTCGATCGATTGTGATTTTGGTGTTATAAAACGATTAGTGTAAACAAAAATGTTAATTACTATAAAAATACACCCAAACTGTACCCGAGAAATCGATATAATTTACGACGATCCCGTTACGGTCTAAACTGATTTTTTCAATAATAAAGTTTTGAAAAATAAAAAACTATTCTAGAAACATTTTACATTTCATATACAAGCAAGAAACCGTTTTAGAAAAATTTCAAGTCGAATAAATTCTTCTATGAAATGGTGAAAACGTATTGTTTTACCTTCTTTATTGTTAGTTATTATATTTTAAAATCATCTTCCCCAAATCAATTACAATGTTTTCAAATCCTCCTGGTATATATGCGTTTTATGTTCAATAAGAAAAAAAATATTGTGGTTTAATCACGAACACCGCAGGTAGAAAAGTAATAAAAAATCTCTCTCGTAGAAGGTTCCTGTTTTTTCAAGTTAATGATATCAGACGCACGGTATGATCATACAGTTGAAATTTAGCCCCTTCGGACAAATATACACATCACGTGAATCAAAATCCACTTGGAAGTAATTTTTTTCTTTTACCATCATTTTCGTTACATCGTTACCGCCGATAATTATGATGTTTATATAACGTGGCTCCGAGTGTATTTGCATAGTGCAGTGGTATTCAAACTTTTTTTTAAACAAGATACACCGAGTTCTATAAAATATTGTGGCACAATTTGAAAACCATTGGTAAAGCGCAATGTGATTTTAGGAGACACGCAAGCTCGATCGAATAAGAAATAACACCGTCTACGGAAAAAGGTATGATAAATATGAAATACATGTCTAAAACAGATTGTGTATGATTTTCTCTCATTGTCTCTCTTTCTCCTACCATAACAAAGACGTAACACGCAAATAATCGAAACTAATCGGTTTGTTGTTTCCGATTATAGGGCGAGGGAGAAGAAGGCGACGGTACCGAAGATGATAAGACCGACGACGGATTGACCACCGAAGGCGAGTCGGTCGCGGACGATTTGACGGACGCGACGGAACAGCACAGTGACAACGAGTTGATCGAACCGGAACCGGTAGTCGAACCCGAACCGGAACCCCAACCGCCGTCCCCGGCACCAGAAGGTTGAAACCTAACCCTAAATATGTTTTTAAATTAGTTTATACCGAATGACCACCCTAATCGACAATTATTCACTTCTTCTTGTGTTTTCACAGAACTTTGGGCTTACCTCAAGGACACGGTATGCTCCAACAACCCACTTAGCGTGGACGACCTGGTCGACAAACTTATGACTGCCGTCACAGCGATACCGCAGCCACTGCTAAACTCGGTGGTCAAAGACACCATAAAAAAACAGAAATCTATAGACGAAGGTAGCTGAAAAATACACAAAATATACCGAATTTATTATGCGTGAGACGAATGCGCGCGTTTCGTTATGGGATGTTTATTAGGGTTTTCGTTCCCTTCGGTTCTACTGATCGTTCCGCACAACTGTAGCAGCGATAATAATAAAATTCATAGGTGTCACCAAGTTTCGCCGAACCCTATATTCAGGTAAGGTAAATGCCCTGTCCGATAATATTTCAGGTTAGTTAATCCAGTGGTTACTCCGGTGGTTAGGTCAGTGAGTTACTGTGAATTATAATCACATAAACACAGTTGGTAATCAACTAATTGGTGCACACTGCCCAGTAGATTAATCCACGTGTCTTATTTATTTAATAATAGTCTTTGAGTAATTCAAAAATTATCGTTTTATGAACGAATTCTCTATCTGAATTATTTGGTTTCAGTGTCACTAACGCCACCTACCCCATTTAAGACGCGATCCGATTGATTAGCAATCTTGTCACAAGAGAGCAGCATAAATAGTGCGATTAACATTTTACTGCAAAGCAACAGAAAAATGGGCACTTCGGACGCTCTCGATTCTCATAAAATCCTACTAATATTGATATTATTTCGTACTGGTTAGGATGAAAACGGCTCTGCGCACTCGAACGCGTATTAGTCTAAAGGATCGATTTCGTAATATTTTCCTGTAAACGTTGTTGGAAAAGGCTACGAAGACGATTAAAACGATGAATATTAATCATCTTTTGGGAAAGATATTATCGGGACAACTAACTTTTTTTCATTCCTATAACTGTATTGCTATAATAATCTTATCATCCTATAATCACAAAAACCCCCGATTGTACAAAGTGCCTGATTTTCATTATCATCGTTTTTCGTGACCAGAATATAGATTTTAAAGCCCTCATAACCTACTTAAAATAACTATAAAATAGTACATTAATGACCTACAAAAAATGAAAGAGAATTAATAATAATAATAATAAAACTTTCTCTTATAATTTAAATCGTTAAACTAACATATTGAACCCGTTCATTTAAATTAAATAATGACAATGAATATAGATATATATATTGTTAATTTATATTTTAATGCAATTCAAATCTGAAGAAAAAAAATACTACTATAATTATTAAAGTAATTCAATTGAACAGCGATTTTCATGACCGTACAACTTAGACCTAATACGAAATGTACTAAAAAATAACAATAACGATCAAAGTTGTTTTATTCTTTACAACTGCAACGTAGTATATTACGCATATAAACTTTAATAGGACGTCAGCTCTTGTTTAATTGTATTTGTCAATCTAATGTGTAATATAGAGAAATCACTATATAAAACAACGATTGTGACGTTTACGTTAGATACAAAGACTTTAAACAAAACTGTGAATTTTAAGGAGAATAATATTTTAGAAAGGCGATATTATTTTTTTTTTTACATTTTTACTGACAAAGAAGTTACAGAAATTTAAGTTTTATATTTTTTTAAATAGTCGTACATTGTTTGTCACATGATATTTTCGTTATTGTCAGTTAGATAGACAAAGACAACAATACATAGATGGACATCATCTTAAAGTTTAACGAAAGAATAAAACAAATTCTACTGTTTTATTTTTTGAACAGCGGGAAACTGTTATAAATTACCGTGAGAAATGTGTCGCAATAGGCATCGTTGTGGAAAAAATAAAATTTAATCGTCCCAATAACTGTTATGTTTCTCGCACTCAGGAATCGAAGGCGGCCCACCGGCTGAAGGCGATTCCACAGCGCCTACTGATCCGGCCACGGACGCGGCGCCGGCCGTGGATGCACCGGCCACGGACGCACCCGCTGTTGATGCACCGGCCGTCGATCCGGCAGCACCAGCCGCTGATCCTGCTGCACCTGGCGCAGAAGTACCAGCCGTTGATCCTGCTGCACCGGCCGCAGATGCACCTGTCGCCGAGGCATTACCGGCAGCAGACATAACCACTGCTGCACCACTAGCCAATGACGAACAACCAGCAGTGGCCACCGCCGGGGAGGCCGTACCGGCGGAAGCAACTCCGTCAGCGGATGCCACGACACCGGAAGTAGCAGTACCACCAGCAGAAAGCGAACCAGAACCGGCAACAGGTACGCGTGTTCGTCGCACCATCCCATTGCACCTTACCGCGTAACGCGAACAGTCAGTCGATCACGTTAACATTTGACTAATATTTTTAAAAAAAACCCCCGATAAAAATTTAATCCAACGTGACTGGGATACATTATAGTATTATACAATCTATTGAAGTCCGATGATAATTCAAACAATATAATATGAGTGTAACACAAAAATCCCATATGCAAATCCCATTTGGGTATAATAAAATCATAATTTTATTTTATTTTATTTTTCAGATTGATGATGAAAATGCCAAAATCAAACTCATCCGATCGTGCAACCTGAATATTTTATACTACACATCGTCAAATGCAATCAGCGTTATTTATTTACTATTGTATTCTTTGAATTTTTTAAAATCACCCACATTGGATATTTTTAATATTTATATATACATATAAAAATTATTTTCCGAACCAACAAAATGACACTTCGTGTGGATTTTGAATGAAATGAAACTTGTTATTAATTTGTAATTTATTTATTACAGGTAAATTATATAATTAATAACAGACACGTTGTGTGGATTTTGAATGAAATGAAACTCGTTATTAATTGATAATTATTATTTTTTAACTATCGCAGAGCTGGACATATTGGCTGGATTAAGCATTGCTGACTGTCTGACCTTGAAGGGTAACTATACCGACAGCACAAAAAATAAGGGTCTTTATTGTCGCTGGGCAGAACCGGTCTTGGTCACCTTACATAGGAATTTCATATTATTATTAACTGAAATAAATACACACACACTCATGCATTTTATATACACAGTATAAAATCATTTTATTCTTCTTTCTTACGTAAGACGACTGAACGCGCACATTTATCTTTCCCATAAAACTTCTATTAGGTAAATCACAGAGGGGATATCGATTTTATAACAACTACATACGTAACCATATTAAAATTTTTTAAAGTTAACTTCACTTCTACGAATATTTTTTCCATGAAAACAAAAAAGGAATCGACAAATCACAAGATGTCTTGTTCTACCTATTCGATCCAGTGTGATGATACTTTATCTTCGATCATTTTTAAAAATTAATTGAACAATAATATGATAAATTTGATTTCAAGTAAATCATAATACATCCGAGTAATTAAAATAATGAATGACGGGGATGAAACCGACAGTCGACTTTATAAAAATATTCATTCGAACATTATATTCAATTCTATTACTACCGCTTTAACATACCTAATGCAATGAATTTTTTTCATACGAGTATATACATACTTGTACACCCGCACAGGTACTGTTATGAAGTAACACAACATTAATGCGTCTTAGTCTTCGCAGACACAATTATAATTGAACATACCAAATTACATGGATATATACTTCAATATTATGTACATGTTTACAGGGAACGAGTTATAGTGACATAAAATTGTTTTTAAAACGTCAACGTGAATTGCTTAATGCGTTGAGCAATGTGTTATTAATATTACATTATTTATCAATACTAGTTAGATATACATGTTTCGAAAGTTATCGTTATTTTCTGTTTGCTTTCTCCTCGTCGATTTTTAAACGAATTTGATATTGTTAATCTTTAATGCGCGAGTCTACAAATAATAAAACCGATAAATAGAGATCGGCAAGCGTTTCGATTACCCGATTTATATTATGCGAATTAACTAAATGCTGGTATAGTTAATCCGCAACTAAGTTGAATAGGGCACGTATGAGTGCTTACATGCGATAATGGTATCGTCTGCGTTTGCATAGGAAAGCTTTTTGCACAACGTGTGGAAGCCGTCAAAATAATTTCGTCCCTTTGTAATAGCTTGCCTGATACGAGGGGATAAAACGAAATACGTGATATAAAATACGCGATAAGTAAAATACAGGCAATACGTGATGTTGAAGCACACATGCAAGTGACGGATGTTTTTTCTCCCAAAAATGTTGAAATTGTTCTGGAAAATGTTCGACCGCTGCAAATTGATTGATATATTCCCGTGTACATATCACGTGGGCATTTTACTGCGTAATCGATAATAAAGTGAAAATCGTTTTGGGTTTTAGTGAAAAAAAATAAATAAATAAATGTTCGTTGATAAATGTATAATTGTTATGAACGATATGCATAACGACATGGATAATATATTTTATATGAAGATTACAATTATTTTACGTTCTTGTTACACGATTTTAAATTTAAAAATTCCGAAAGTATAGTTGTAAATGTTAATACATTGATTAATCAAACAATTATTAACTGAAAAAAAAAAAATTGAAAAACAAAAGTTTATATTGACACAAGATATACAAGATAAAATCATAAATTTGCAAAAATACGTAAAGTTAAGCGTAAAAAAATTGAACATACACAAATAATTATCCTATATAAAATTAAAATACATCTAGGGCCGTCCCGAAGATGAAAATCAAGAGGAGGTGAATAATATGAAAAATGCCGGTTACAATGTTTTTACTTAATGTATGTAGCATAATTAACTATATGTAGCCGTATTTTTACTTTTTAACATGTATATATGTGTCAGTGTCGCACGTTCATGAAATTGACAATTTAATTATATGTATATATAATTATATTTTAAAGGGGGTAAACCACTATTGGAAGTAGGTGTACAAATATTAGGAAATACTTTGGAAATAGATGGAAATACACGGAAGTCCGTGGAAGTATTTGGAAGTATGTGGAAGTACTTGGAAGTATGTAGAATTACATGGAAGTACAAGACAATATGTGGAAGTACATGGAAGTTCCGAAATTAAATAATTATTATTTAACTATATTTAGAGTAACAAATACAGTAAGTAAATAACGTATGCCTATAGCATCGAAAATTTAAAAGTAAACATACTAAGAAAGTAAGAAACGGTGTTTTGCAGCTATTCATGCTCTTAAAATAATATTATGTTAGTGATTTGTTTATTATATTATTCAATAATTTTGGCTGGAATAATTAATAATAACTCGTTATTTTGGATAAAATATATCTAAAAATAATTGAATTGTGTATGGTTTTAAATAAATATGGTTAAACTTGTCTATAAATAAATATAGGGATAAATATGGTTAGGCTTGGCTAGTATTATTAGATGACTCCAGTCCGAAGCCGTGTTCGTTGTTTGTACATTATACGTCTATAAGTTCATTTTGTGCACTCTTTTTCAAATTATTTAATTTAAATTGGTAAATTTTAAAGCTCTATTTACTAAATGTTAGGTGTTAAATAAAACATAATAACTAGCGCTAGGATTTGTGTGTAAATACATTTTTTTTTACTAAAACTTATGATAAATTAAATATTGCAAATGATAAATCCATTTCACGTGATTTGCAATAAATAAAGCATATTTTATTTTACATATTTTTACGTACTTCGTCATAAGTATATATTTTAATTATATTTGTAAATTTTCTGCTTTTTTTTTTTTTTACATATTTCGTAAATTTTGACAATTTCGATAGTTTAGACGGTTTAGTAAAATTATACATTTGTACTTCGATAATAATACTCGTAAAAATTGTAAGTGTATAATGCATATAGGAAATAAGTGTATAAAAGTATTAGTTAAATATTAATAACTTTATTAGAGTTTATCTTATTTGCTTCTGTTCGACAACTATACATTTATGATCTTATATTATACTTTATATTCAACAATTATTAGACAAAATATATTTACGAATTTTCAACAGTGACAGTACTTGCGTTCGCGTAGTAGTGAAAATATCTTTATATTTTATATTTTTTTAATTAAATTGATTAGAAATTAAAAACAATTAATTATTGTTTATTATTTAAAAACGATTTAGAATTTAATTTTAATTTTACACGTTAACATAATTTTAAATTTTTCTTATTACCTATTTTTTATTTTATACTACATAATTTGGCTATTTTAAGTACATATTTTTGGTTTTTTATTACGTATAAATCCCAGCCCTAATAATAACTATAATACCTCAGTAGAATATATAATATTATTATAAAATATATGTAATAGGTAGGTTTTAGATGTAGTTGTATAGTAAATTTCAATCGAGTATAATTAAAATTAATTTTAAAACAGTATGGTACAATAATCAACATTACATAGTTGTATTACCTAAAATAATATAATATACGTTTAATAATTCAAAAATGTTTCGGCAATTTTAAATAAAGACTATTATTTGAAACTAAAAAATACATGTTTAATGATTTTGCGAGGTCTATTTTCAGCACTTTTTGCCTGTTTTTGTTTATTAATATACTACTTCATTTTACTTTTTGGTAACTTGTTATTCTATTCCATGTATGATTTCATTTCAAACAAATGTATTCATTCTTTATATATTTATAAAAATAATTAGTGATGGGGACATGAATTGAGAAAAAAATTACGTAAATAATCGAATTTTATTCTTGAACTCGAAATATTTCGAATGGTCGTTCGTGACATAACATTTTATAAGTACTATTTAGAGCTCTTTATTACCATAATTACCTAATAAAAAGGAAAAAAATTATAATTTCCGGGCTAATTTCTAAATTAAACTAGTACCTAGGTATTATTATTTTATACAATGTTTGAATAATAGTACACACCATGATTGAATTATTATTGTGTACAAATTACACATTACTCTAAAATTTGCACTTACTCGCTAACTTGTCATGATTATCAAAGTAGCAGTCGCTGCCTTATCTGACGTTCATTATTTTTAGACATTTCTACATTACTAATTAGATGTAGTTTGAATGAAGGCGTGCAGTGTATATTTATAAATTAAAAAATACGAATAATATAAAAATATTGGTTGGTTGGTTTCGTTTTACCCCTTATGAATGGTTGTCCATTGACTAATGCATTCATAGCAAGTTCTGCAAAAACTATTGCACAGTATTTCAATTCTGAAAGTATAGCCAACAATGCTTATGTTATAATGGCTAAACCATTAAAGGACATTGCCGCGCCATTTTGTTTGTCTATTTATGGAACAAACAACTGGTTTTCTAATGAAGACGTCATGAATAGATGGGAATTCATGAAAACTGCTGCTGCTGAGCAAGGGATTGAAATATTAGGATTTTCATCAGATGGAGATCCTAGATTACTTAGAGCAATGCTACTCAAAAGCATTGGTATCAGTATTAGTACAATAAATAATGAAAGGTCAGAGAATAAGATAAGTAGTTGGTCTTGATTTATTATTGGAGAGCCACCAATTATTCCTAACCAAGAACGAAATAAAGAAGTATGTATTCAAGACACGGTTCATATTTTGACAAAATTACGAACGCGATTTCTTAAACGAAATATTATCATATCAATGGGTAATTATTTTGCAACGGTAGATTATTTAATGGAGTTAACAAGGACATTTTCCAAAGACAAGCACTTGTTAACAGTTACCGATCTTAAGCCTGAGGACAAAATGAATTTTTTGTCTGCAGAAAAAATGTGTTCTACCAAGGTATTGAATATTCCAAATACACATGCAACAATTGCCTATCTAAAAATTATGAATTATATTTTAACAGCTTTTTTA